ATATACTCGAAATTGTTCTACGATATTTTGAACCTTTTGATTTTTTTCATTGAAAATTTTGAAATAATCATTATTTTCGGTCCCTGAAAAAAAGTAAGTGCGCCTGGGCCACTCTGTAGAAGTGAAACTTACGTTACTTATCTATCTATACATACACATCTGCTTTTGCTTAAGATTATATTTTTTCGCTTTTTTCTATCAATGTAGATCCCTACCTCTACCACTGTTCGTTTTAATAACATTCATGTTATTCTGTTTTTCCATTATCTTAATTTTTATCTTTATACTGTATCGATAACAAAATCGATTATAACCATTAATCGATTAATACCATTGGTAGCTAAATCGATTTGAAAATCGATAAAAATATCGATAACAAAATCGATAAATATCGAAAACAAAATCGATAAATATCGATAACAAAATCGATTTATATCGATAACAAAATCGATTTATATCGATAACAAAATAGATAACGAAGTCGATATCCAAAGCGATAAACATCGATAACAAAATCGATAAATATCGAAAACAAAATCGATAATAAAATCGATACATTTCGATAACAAAATTGATAAATATCGATAACAAAATCGATAAATATCGATAACCAAATCGATAAACATCGATAACCAATTGGATAAATATCGATAACAAAATCGGAAAATATCGATAACAAAATCGGATAAATATCGATAACAAAATTGATAAATATCGCTAAAAAAGTCGATAAATATCGATAACAAAATTGACAAGAATCGATAGCAAAATCGATAATTATCGATAACAAAATGGATGAATATCGATAACAAAATCGGTAAATATCGATAACAAAATTGATAAATATCGATAACAAAATCGATAAATATCGATAACAAAACCGATAAAAATATCGATTATTTTGCTGATAAGTCTCGAGAATCCCGAAAATCTTTAAGATCTCAAAATAGTTCCCAGATTGAGTCTCTGTGTCTCTCCCCATATCCTTTCCTCTTTAATTACCTCTATTTTAATCTTCCTTCCCCTATCTTCATCTTTCCTTTTATCGGTATCCTCATCATCCTCTTTGTCTTTACATTTCTGTTCATAATTTTTTTCAGCTACATATTCTCCTTCACATTTGCCCTTATATATATAAGTAAAGTGTTTAGATTTACCTTGGTCTTCATTTTTGCCTTTATCTTTACGTATCTTTGTTTTTGTTTTTATTTTTACCTGTGCCTTTATCTTTTTCTTCATTTATGTACGTAGTCACGTTTACTTTCATTCTTGTATTGGTATTTTTCTAAGTGTTATTCTTTAACCTTTTATTAGCAAATTTTTGGTAATTTAATACAATATGCATACACACAAGAAGCACTTGTTTCAGCCCCAACCATTTCGGTTGCACCATTTCCGTTGCATCATTTCCGTTGCATACACACAAGAAGTACTTGTTTCAGCCCCAACTATTTTCATTTCACCATTTCCGTTGCATCACTTCCGTTGCATCATTTCCGTTGCAACATTTCCGTGTGCAATTTCCGCTGAATTTGCCAATTTACTCCCAGCCAATCAACCGCCGCTAAAGAAGTTTCACTTCAAAAAGAAAGAAAATGGTAAGAAAGCCCTATAATTTTTAACTGTTTAAATAAATAGCGGAATCTGTGTTGGGGAAAAATCAATAGCTATCAAAATATGGATGTATGTATGTACACATCTACACACATGAATAGCACGTCGTTTCAAAGTGTTAATGCTTGCCACTTATGCTTATTTATTAATTTTTAAGAATTTCCAAATACAATACAGTTCATCCTCTAACATAGCCCATATAAACCCAAGTTTAAAACTTTATAAAAAACTACAAAAAAATTCAACACATTTTCTGAGAAGTGTTAGAATTTTTTTTGAGTACACAGCTTTCCAGCCCATGGCGTTTTAGTCTGATAACGTGCATGTTTCAAGTGGCTAAAAATTAGCGTTGTTTTATTATTTAATTTTTTTTTGCCGAAGGTGTTGCTGCTTTCTTCCATATAAAAATAAATTGTATTTATTCATCACTTAGGTACACATCACTATGAAATGGGGTGCTATATATATGACCGATACCGTTTATATGTAGGGAAAAGTGCTGGTATACTTCAGAGACAAATTACACTACTCAACAAATTTTCAATTTCGATTTTATTTGAATCAGAACTAATAAGTTTTTTTTTTTTAAACCAACCTAAAAATGCGTGTTTGGTCTATTTTCGAGGTTACCTTGCATTGCAAAATTTTGGTTAGTCGGAGAAAAAATATACATAGCAATTTAACTTACACATCGTGCTCTATCCTTTACCGTTAAAATTAGCTCGCCTTATGGTATATACATTTTTATGTCCAACGTGATATAATGAATGAAGCTCTCAATATTATACACCAGTGGACTACTCGCGCAGGCTTAGAGATTAGTGCAGATAAAAAGGACATGTTACATTTTACAAGAAAGTACAAGATTCCTACGTGGAAGTTTCCTAAACTGAACTGTATTGAAATGCAAACCAAAAGACGTACCTTGGAGCAGACCTGTTAAATGATGATAAATGTTCATAATGATTATTATTTAAAGCATTTTTTTGGGTAACCGTTTAATGATTAATAATCAATTACGTTCAAAAAAGAAAATCAATTAATTAATTAATTTTAATTACATTATTTTATTATTATTTTCGATTATTTTCAGTTATCTTTTAATTACTTAATTACATGATTAATATAATTTCAATTATTATTGATTTATTTTAATTGCATGATAATAATAATTTGATTATTTTCAGATATTTCCAACTTGTGAATAATACATTGCAATAGATTAATATGATGAACATATGATGAAAATCAGTACAGTAACATAAGATAAATGCAAAAGGAGAATAACAAAAACGCGGTCAATATGCATAGCTATTATCTTTACGTAAGATCTGTTCCAATGTGTCCTCTACAAAATTCTCTCTGAAAGTATTAATTAATAGCAAATACAGTTGACAATGTCTGAAAGAAATCGTTCTTTATTTGTAAACTACAATACACGCATTTACTTGTACAGTTAGTTTGGTTTCAGTTATTTAATACTAATTTATAAAAATTTGCCTGCCAAACACAGCTTTGCCTATTTGGAAAAATAATCATATAATTAGAAACATCCAAATCAAAGGTAATCAAATAAATAAAAAAAAAATGATTATTTTTGATTAATTTTTTAATGGAACATAATCATGATTATTTTTGATTATAATTAATTTTGCTGGGTTATGTAAGCAAATTAAAATAACTATTAAAATTAAAAAATGCAAAAGAATTAATGATTACTAATCGTAATG